CCCCAAAACCCCAAAACCCCAAAACCCCGTAGGTAAACATTACAGCTATCGTAATGAATTATATTAATTGGATTAATCAGTTATCATTGTTATCATTATTTTTCTATTCTTCAGCTTCTTTAGCATCTTTAATGTCGAGCTGTTTATTGGCAAAGGCCATAAGCACATTGACATCATCGTCCCTATCCACCTAACTCCTTTCTATCTCCTCCAGCATTTTTCTATTTCTATCACTTTCTTCATCCTACTCTTACTCTAGTTCTCTCTCCATATTATGAAAACCTTGAATGTCATTAAGCATCTTGTTTAATGTTTCACTGTCCTTATCATCATCTTCCTCGTATAATTTTGCTTTAATATTCTCGTTTTAGCTAATCTGTTGATCATAGAGCTCAAAATCTCTATCTTCTTTTTCTCTCATTTATTTTATCATCTCTTCCTTACTTTCTAAGTTATTAATAATTGATGAGAGCTCATCCTCTTGAGCTTGCAATTACTATCGAAGCACATTTTTCCTCTGTATTATCTTTTCCTAACCCTCGCTTTTCTTTGATAGCTAATTCACTCTTTATTCTATTGCAAGGATAGTTTTTTCTCGATCTTGTATTGAATCTAAAGCTCTGTAATAGTCTTCTTTGACTTAAGCAATACCCTTGAATGTTTCCTCTGCTTCTATAAATAATTAGGATTGCTTCTCCAGTTCTGCAAGTTACATTTAAGTCTTCTCATTATATCCAGATAATGCTACACTTCTACTATCATCCCCATTCATTTCACTCATAACTGAGAGTCTTTCTTCATCTTCTCTACATTCTTCAATCAACCTCAAAAGTGTCTCTTGATCAATCATTTATTTCTTAACTTCTAGTTATCCAAGCATCTGATCTACAGTCAGGTTTTATCCTGGTTTCTGCTAAGATTTTTGTTCATCAACAGCATAGGATAGATCATCAGTATCATTTATCTTTTGAAGATTGTTGTCTATTTGCTTAAGCTGATTTGTTAAAAGTCTTTTTTCTGCCATTTCTCTCAATTTTCTCTCTTTTGGCAGAGCAGTCGCATGTGTATTGAAAGTTTTATGTGTAAGCATAGTAAAGTTTGATTTTCTAGTCATAACACTCATCGGCATGGATCTTATAGACGAGGAATCATCACCTAAGAATTTCGAATGATCGTAATTAGATTTCATATCATAGTTAGATTTATAGTCTTGATCTAAAGTATACTTTGAAATAAAAGCTATCTTACTCATATCAGAACCCTCAGAGGGTGGTAGCATTGGTGCCATTTTCCTTAGATTGTCATTAATACTTTCAATTTTACTTATATCATCTTTAGAGTAGAGGTATGCTCCTTTTCCATCATTTATTTTATTAGTGTATGTTGATTTATTCATATCTGCTGAGTAAAAATCTTGCTTTTCTTTAATGATATCTTCAAGATTATCATCAATATCTTTAATCAGAGTATCCAACCTATTCTTACTTTATTCATCTAGTTAATCACATATCATCGGCTTTTTATAGGGGTTAAAGTCTTTAGCCTGATCTTTATTCATTGAGAGGAAATCTTTACCTCCAACTTTTGACGTTGATCCAGTCATATTAGTCCTAAAACTAGTTGATGTTTAGTTCTGTGGATTTTTAGAAGGCGTTGAGTATTCTTCTATTGGTGGTAAAGCTAATAAAGTTGGTTTTTTAAGAAAATCATCAGCCATTTCCATCAAAGCTTGAGATTATTCATAATCATAAACTACATCTTATAGCTCGTCTGAATCTACGCTATCATCATCACCTCTTTGACTTCCTTTTACTGAATTCTACTTGCTCTATCTTTTCCCTTTAAAAAGTGCATCAGTGAGGAAAGTATCCCCAATATCATCGTCATTTTAATTATTATTTTTTGAAGATTCCTATTTCTAATTCCTTTAATTTGTATTTTTACTGGGAGGTTTTCCTTTTGATTGGCCTCTTTAAGCTGGATTTTACTTTTTGGCAGTAGAATTGAATCCTTTTGATGATTGTACCTTGCTTTACTCTTCCTTATGAATCATTATCATTTGCCTCTTTTAATCTTCCAATCTATCTTCCTCTTATCTTCTGAGCATTTGTGAATTCTTGAGTTCTCTTTATAATTTTGTTTATGAAGCCAACTATGCATCAAGCATTCTAATTTTTTCCAGCTCCTTTTTCATTTTTTACTCCTTATCAGTCAGTTCAATTAACTTCTTTTGCATCTTTTTACCTTGATTTTATATTTAACTGCTAGAATTATCTTCTGATTCACCCAGATAATCAGCTTTTAAGAACTTCATCCAAAAGGGTTTCCCCGTCTCATCTAATATTTCTTCATTTTACCCTATTTTATCTATCTGATCCTGGACTATTTTCTCTCCCTTATCTCTTTATTCATTTACAACAATATCAACGACTTCATCAAATTACTCAGGAATCGTCACAAGTGATTTGGTCTCAACTTCATCCATAAATTCATCCAAATCATCCATGATTTCATCTTTGAAATTCTACAAATCTTTCAACTGCTTATAAATCTAGTCTAGCCTGCTTTGTCCATCACCAGTTGGTAGAGCAACTACTGTGCTAGTTTGAGGATAAAAATTAAATCCTCCTTGAGAACTATTTTAATTCTTAAACTTATTGGGCTCATTTTTCATTGGAGTTGACTATTCACTTATAATATAGGAATCATTTTATTTAGCTGACTATACATTAGTCTTTTTCAACGAAGGCTTATAAATATTAATCTACTTATCTTCCTTGATCTCTTTCATAGAATAAGTACTTAAAGTGTCAATATCTTTTTCATTCTAAACCTGATTTCTTAATGATTCAAATACTTCTTCTAGCTCTAATTCATCTCTGTCTTTTTATCTTTAATCTAGTTATCTTAACAAATTCATTCTTTCCTCATAATTTACTTCAGGAGTAGAAATCTCTTCATAGACATCGTTTTCTAACTAAAATTGACTACTCTCCAAGTTCTCTTTACCGTTGATATTTTAATCGGATTGTGCTGTAACTGGCCTACTTCCTTATCTTGAGGATTTGACACTAAATGGCCTGCGATTTAGATTTTCTAGCTTTTTCTATTATTCCTGATCTAAAGACTGAGTCTTCTGCATAAATTAGTCATTTAAATCATAAGGATTTGAGTTAGAGTTGACTTAGTGATTTACTTTAACTGGCCCATTTGTTTTCTTAAGTTCCTCTCTAATTATTTTCTTGGAGTCTGGTCTCTAGTTAAAATTAAGCGCATTAAGCTCTTTAGGGGTGAAGAATTTCTGACTTGCTAAAGTACCCTTATAATTTGACTACTGATTTTATGATTAGTCCTTTGGTATTTGATTTTCCGGTATATTTTATTGCTCATTAGGTAAAACTTTCATGGTCATATAATCCTAAAATGACATGCCCTGTTTCTGATATTGCTAGACATCGCTGACCGAAGATTTAGTTGAGGTAGCTGATGGAGGTCTATTACTCTCTTGTAGTGACTTCTTAATAACTGTTCTATTATTGTTACTCATTTTTAATTAAAGTAATTTATAAATTTGAAATTTAAGAAATGAATATTATCTCTACTTTACTCAATCTTGATCAATGGGGTTTTGGGGTTTTGGGGTTTTGGGGTTTTGGGG